CGATGTTGTCCCGATCTTCGCGTCGTTTTACCACGCAGCCGAGCTGGTGGCGCTCGTCGCTCAGCTGGTGGCCCTCGTTGCGCTGCTGGTGCGCCTCGCAAGCGGTCGTCGACCACGTGCTGGTGGTCGTGCTGGTCGTGCTGGCAGTGCTGGCGGTTGTCGCCGACGCCGTACAGGTTGTCGTGGTCGTACAGTTGGTCGTATTTCTGGTCGCGCTCCAGGACCTCGACTATGTATCTATCATCGGCCTTGTCGTACTTCGTGTTGTGCTTGCCGAATCCAGTGTTGTCTTTGATGTCGTACTCGTCGTCGCAGTTCTGAAGAGCAGCGGTGGTAACGACCATGCTGTCTTAGGGGCTTAGCTCACTTCCATGTCTGACGTGGTATCCCATACGCCCAAGAGCGGACTCCACTCTGATTATCTGCCTGTTTGCCGCTCAGTCGCCACAATGGGGATCCCCATAACGTCATTGTCGATCCACGCGTAGTTCTGAATGATCCGCCCGTAGACCTCGACGGTCCGCCCGTAGACCTTGATGATCAACCCGAGGACCGTATGGCCATTGGCGCCCGCCGGCCGCGGCGCGGCCAGCGGGCTGAGGCTGTCCACCCCCCTCCCCTCCCTTTCACGCGGGGGGCACGAGTTTCCGCAAACGGCCTTGAACCTCCTCCTCCTCCTCGTTCCCGCCTCGACCTCGCCGTCGCCCTTCTGCTCCGTAACCTCCCCGCCTCCCTTGTTATCTGCCAGCCTTCGGCGGCGAGCCCGGGGGGAAGTGAGAAGGGGCTGGCTTTCTCAGAAGGCTCGGCAGTTCCCCAGCCTTCTGATAAGTTTTCTAAGCCTTCCCGGAAGAGACACTCACTGCGACGGTAGGACACCACATGATACTCTATTTAGTTAGCCCCTCGCTTTTTCCGCTTCGTCTTGGAGGAGGCCTTCCTCCTGCCCTCTGTTGCGCCTCCTCCTCCTCCTGCTCCTCCTCGTCTTCGCCCTCCGTCTCCTCCTCGTTCTCGTCCTCGCCCTTCTCCTCATCCTCCTGCTCCCTCTTTTCTTCCTCCTCCTCCTCCTCCTCTTCACTCTCCTCCTCTTCCTCATCCTCCTCGCCATCCTCCTCATTCTCCCTCTCCTATGCTCCTCCTGCCTGTTCTCCCCATGCACATCCCCTGCCTCCTGGCCGGGGCAAGTGGATTCTCCTCGGCGCCGTTGCCGCCGTGGCCGGCATGGACGCGCTCTCCGATGGCCAGATCGCGAAGCCTTTGCGAGAGCCCCGCCGTAGGGAGGGGGTTCCCGCCTGAGTCTTCCGCGCGATTCACTCACAGACGAGGCTCCCGCGTAATATTTGCTCCATGCTCAGGCTCGGGCTCGGGGGGCCCAAGAGTGACGACAGTTACATGTATTCTGATGACGCGTCCGGATAAGAAACAGGATGTGCGGGACCCGCACGACAGGGGGCTCCCGCTTGAGATTTCTTCGCAATTTACAGACGAGGCTCCCCCCTCGATACTTCGTTCATATGTAGGCCTGGGGAGCCCAAGAGTGATGATAGTCAAGGTTTTAGGCTGGCCCGCTCGGATCAGAAACACATGAGGTGCGGGACCCATAGGGAGGGTGCTCCCGCCTGAGACTTCCACGCAGTTCGCTCACAAACGAGGCTCCCGCTAAATATTCTCCATATTCAAGCCTGGGGAGCCCAAGAATGACGACAGTTACACATCATCGGATGACCCGTTCGGGTATAAAAAAAGTCAAATGCGGGATCCCGCCTGGAACTTCTTCGCGGTCCACTTACAGACGAGGCTCCCGCTCAAGATTCCCTCCGTATTCAGGCCTTGGGAACCCAAGCGTGACGACAGGTACACGTTTTAGGATGACCCGCTCGGATTCAGCACATGAGGTGCGGGACCCATATGGAGGGGGTTCCCGTTTGAGACTTCCACGCGGTTCACTTACGGACGACGCTCCCGCGAGAGGCTTCCTCAAAATGGGTGTGTGTGCGTGTCTGTGGGTGTGGCCCTAATTAGGGCTACCCGCGTCCCGTTTAGCTCTTGACCGGAAGGGGCCCGCTCCCGACCCGCAGACCAAAAAGTCGGTGGGCGTGTGAGATCATGAGTGGTTGCGTGAGTGCGTCTGAGATGGTGATGGTGTTGGTGATGATGGTGGTGGCCGAGGTGTGTTGGTGGATGAGTGAGTGAGTTAGCGCTTGAACGTGATTGAGTGAGTGGATGATGTGAGAGTGTGTGAGTGAGCGAATGGGGTTGATGAGAAAAATGCGGATTCAGATGGTGATGGCGATTTGGATGATGTTGATTCTGATGATGGGGGTGCTGGAGGTGATGGTGATGGTGATGGTGATGGTGTAGGAAGGTTCCTGTTCCTACGCGGGGTGTCCAGAGAAAACAAGAAACCTTTTTCGGACGAGGGGGACGGATCTTTCAGAAGGCGCGAGGGCTTCTGAGAAGTCCCGCCGCCTTCTGAGAAGACCTTCTCCTTCTCACTTTCCCCCTCGCTCGCCGCCGGCGGTAGCGTCCCCGCCTCTCTCCTTGTCTGCCATCCTGTTTCTCGTCTTCTCTGATCGGGCGCTGGCCGTTAGGGCGCAGTCAACCCCTGGACCTTGAACCTCGGCCCGCGTTCTTGCCTCGCACAAGAAACCTACTGCGTAAACGTTGGCTTTCGGAGGTCAGCGTGGCTTCTCGGATCTTCCGCGCGCCAGGAAGGGAGGCTCCGGCGCCGACACAAGAGATCCGCGCCGGACTCCGATCGTCTATGTCTGCGTCGCTTTGTTGCTCGCTCCTCCTCCTCCCCGCAGGGTCCACTTCGACGCGGTCGATGAGTTCGGTGCCGATGTTGGGCAGCCCGATCCGATTGGATTCCGACGCGGCGGCGATCCGGTGCGGCCCGGTGCCCGCAGGGCGCCGCTATGCATCCTGGCGAAGCGGATAGCAGATTCGAGATCTGCTCAGCGCCGCTGCGGCGCGCTCCGGCGGTCCCATTTCGACCCGATGCGATTTCCTGATCCGCTGCTGACCCATGCTGTCCCCCTCCTCCCCCCCTCCCCTCCTCCTGTTCCTCCTCCTCCACCTTCTCCTCCTCCTCCTCCTCCTCCTTCTGCTCCTCCTCCTCCTCCTCCACCTTCTCCTCCTCCTCCTCCTCCTCCTCCTCCTCCTCCTCCTCCGCCTCCTCCTCTCCTCCACAATTATTCAATATGAATGCTACTCTCCCTCTTCCCCTGATGGCGTGCTGGGAGTAGCCGACCCCCCCCCCGCGTATTGTTTTTTTACACACAGGATTCCCGGGAGTTGGGTTTTCGCCTGCGTTTTTTTCAAAATGCTGCTCTCGCTGAGGCGCCGGCCTCATTTCTGCTCCCGAATCGTTCCGAATCGTGCTCCCGCTGCAGCGTGGGCCTCATTTTCGGATCGGTGTTTTGCCTCCGTCGTTCAGGATGGCGTTCTCGCCCCAGCGCGGGCCTCTTTCTCGCGCGCCCATCCGCCCGCCACCACCGCGCCGCACCACGCCCCGCCCCGCCGCACGCACACCCACCGCCACTTCCACCCACCAACGCACGCACGCACGCACGCGCACCACCACCGCGCACCGCCACCACCACCGCACTACCCCACCCACCACCACCACGCTACACCGCGTCACACCACATCACACGCGCGCACACACAGACACATACGCACGCACGCACGCACACACACACACACATACACACGCACACACACACACACGCACACACAGACAGACAGACAGACAGACAGACAGACAGACAGACAGACAGACAGACAGACAGACAGATAGACAGACAGACAGACAGACAGACAGACAGACAGACAGGCAGACACACAGACACACAGACAGACAGACAGACAGACAGACAGACAGGCAGGCAGACAGGCAGACAGGCAGACAGACAGACAGACAGACAGACAGACAGACACACACACACACACATACACACCACCACCGCCACCACCACCACCGCCATCACGCACGTACGCACCTGGCCCACCACCAAACCACCAAGACGCCACACCACGTCACACCACAGCACACGCGCACACACGCACACACACACACATACACACCACCACCACCACCACAACAACCACAACCACGCACACACGCACGCACGCACGCACGCGCACCACCACCCACTACGCACACGCGCGCGCGGAGCCACAGGTCCGCTACAACACGCGTCCGCGGATAGCGAAAATCAGCGCCATGGTAAGGGATGGGTGGGAGGGGTAGGATGTCAGATGTCGACGCGAGCGCACCTAACTTGTCCTCCTCCCCCCTCCCCCTCCCCCCTCCCCCTCCCCCTTCCCCTCCCTCTCGCCCTCCTCTTCCCCCGCTCCTCCGCCTGGCCCACGACCCCCCCGCCTTCCTCCCCCCCCCGCTCCTCTGCGGATGATATGTGTGCACCGTACCGCGCTATCGAGCTTCGAACCAGGAATGGTGCGGTGCACAGTTGATCGGCCTTCGGAGCCCACAGAATTACCGTACCACGTTGGAGCGGGGCCTGAACAGAGTCCAGGCATGGTACGTTGCATCGTGCATCGGCGCGAAGGAGGAGGAGGAGAAGGAGGAGGAGGAGGAGGAGGAGTACCTCCTCATCCTCCCTTCTCCCCGTCCTAGATGTTGTGGTGGAAAAGTTGCTGCCCATCGTGGCCCCCCGCGGGCGATATGTATGCACTGCACCGCGTTGGCGTCTCCCGAGGCGTTGTCGAGCTTCGACCCAGGACGGGTGCGGTGCAGAGTTCATCGGCCCTTCGGAGCCCATAATACTGTGCACCGTACAACGTTGGAGCGGGGCCTGAATCGACTCTAGGCATGGTACGGTACAAAAGGCGCGGAGGAGGAGGAAGAGGAGGAGGAGGAGGAGGAGGAGGGAGAGAAGGACCTCCTCATCCTCCCTTCTCCCCCGTCCTACATATGGTGGTGGTGGTGGAAAATTTGCCCATCATGGCACACGAGCCCCCCCGCTGCAGCGGCCCAGGTCTGCGAGCAGTGCTTCCAGCTGCACACTGGCTGCGGGCCTCCCTCCGACGGAGGCCAGGCGACGCCCACGTGAGGCCCACGGGCGCCACTCCGTGGGCACCGGCCGCGCGGGCCGCCGCGCAGGGCGCCCCCCTCCCGCGCCCTCCGCTCACGCTTCCCCTGACCCCCGTGCCTCCCCACCCTCCCTCTCTCTCTTCCCCCTCTTTCCTCTTTCCTCCCTCTCGCTCTCTCTTTCTCTCCCTCCCTGTCTGTCTGTCTGTCTGTCTCTCTCTCTCTCTCTCGCTCTCTCTCTCTCACTCTCATTCTCTCTCTCTCTCTCTTTCTCTTTTTTTTTTTTCTCTCTCTCTTTCTCTCTCTTTCTCTCTCTCTCTCTCTCTCACTTTCTCTCTCTCTCTCTCTCTATCGCTCTCTCTCTCTCTCTATTTCTCCCCCCCCCTGCCCCTGCTGCTCCCGTCCCTCTCC